TAAGGGGCGGCATAAAAACATTTAAGGGGCAGAATTTCAAAGACTTGCATCATACTGAGAAAATCTACCGCACGATCCTGCCTATGCCGGGGCTCCAAAGTTAAGTCAGTGCGTTTGAATAACTTTTTTCAATCTTTTCGGCGATTGTCGTCTTTTGGCGCCAAGAAGAGAAATTTTTTTTCTGTGCAGGATCGGTACCTTTTTACATAATGGAACAAAACACGTACCTGATTTTCGACATTCAATGTTGTCATATGAAATGGATATTATGTAGTCATAGCGAAAGTCGCACTACGATTGACATTTGCGCCACCTTTTCTCTGACGTCACTAACCTCGATGTATGGACCCAACTGTTATAATGGAGGAATATAAGAGCTTTTGATACTATATTTTCTAGCCATTTTAGTAGCATGTTGGGCATCAGCTTCTCTGGTTATTTCGCCCCGTGGAATGTGTAAGCTCATTGGCTAGTAGTACTGTACTACTACTAGTAATTGGATACGTTTATTACAGTAGACGTAACGTGCGGAAATAATGGCTTCCGGGAAATCTTTTAAGGGAAACTGTCTCCTATTCAGACGTTACAGACGTGGAGAAAACCCGGAAAACTCCACGTGGCCAGCCTTCCTGGTGAGGCGCCAACCCACCACTGAACTCCCAGTGTTCAGGGAACGAAGACCGCTCGGTCACTGTTGGGCCTTATAGCCACATATCTTAGGGAAAGTTCGCCCTCTACCGGACAAAATTACTTCTGCTTATGTCTTCAATTACAGGTAAAGTCAACAAGTTTCGACTTGTCGTGAGCGATTGTGAAAAAATATATATTTGTGAGTGAATCGTATTGTGTGTGTGCAATGTTTACAATTTTATCTTTTCCTTGTTTTTCGAGTGAGTGAACTAATTACAATTTTATTATATTTACTACACTTTTTATTATGTGATGTATACAAATACGATAAGAAATAAGAATTTAAAGTGTTATTTCGGAGCGAAAATATATACCATAACACGTTAATTCTCTAGTAGCGAACAAGAAAATAGATTTTATTCAGAAAAATCGACATTGATTTTAAGCGCGTGATGTGGAGATGGAGACCAGAAAGGATACTTTTACACTCAATCTGTGTCTAAATTTTGTGCGCCTTAGGAACTTAGTGTATTGTGTTTTCTTTTTGTTTTTGAAAAATAATAAATGAAGATATTTTTATTGACGTAAAAACATTTAGTATCTTTGTAATTGACGGCCGGAATGCCGAGCGGTCAAAGTAGCGGTCTACCGCTCTGGGGATGGACCCGGCATCCAATCCGGACAGATCGAAAAATTCCCAGGGTCCGTCCGGTGGTCCTTCAGGATATTTCTGGTCCCGTCTTTCACCACCCAACCGCTCTATTGTGGGCTTGGCCGAACCCATGATGGGGTTGTGAAAGAGTCTTTCTTAGTGCCCACAGAACGAAAAAAGTTTTTAAAAAAGTATCTTTGTAACAAGAAATTTAAATAAATAATTCTAATTAATTTTTGTTATGATTTTGTTTCGAGTAAAAATATTTATATTATATATTTATAATATATTAATGTAAAACAGAATTTTATTCTAGTTTAAAATGAAATAAACGAAAAAAAAAATTAAGTCGAAATGGCGCCATCTTAGTTCAAATTCGTTATTAACATGGGCGGAGTTCCGGAATTCAATGTCGTGTTATCGGTCGGCATTTGAAAACGTTTCTAAACTGCGTGTTACTATACACTGTCGTAGGCTGTTGCCATGGTTAGAAAACGTGGGAACGTGTGACGTCATATTTCCCTCGACTTGAAACAGAATTAACTTGGTGGTCGCGACCCACACGTGCACTATTCAAACTTTAAACGGAAGAATATTGCCGTTTAGACGCCTTGAGCGTGGTCAATTTGTTTAACTGAAGCTGCAATGAACCTATACGCAGCTGGTGATACTTTGCCAACATTTGTTAAGTAGTCTCGTCAACACAGCCAAAAAGAGCTAACGTTGCTGCAACCCGAAGATTCTCACCGTTTTACTGACGCAAGAGTACCTGTGTACTATATAGTAAATTTGTAATCTTATTTTGGATAAAGTTAATATTGCAACACTTGCCCCCAGAGAATTTACAACTAATTCATTTTAATAGAATAGCTCAGTACATTACAATAAAACAATAATAATCATTTTTTTGAAAATTGCAATACGTTAATTATATTTTTTCAGGATTTGAATCTTGTCAAATACTTTTTTTTACTTGCTTCAAATTATATACAGTATAAGAATACATATTCCGAATTTTCGTACGCTTGCATACTACAGTTACTGCAAATTCTCTCGAGGTCTTTTTTTTAACTCTTTCAGCCTTAGAGCACTAAGAGAGCCTCTTTTTTGCAAGCCCATTATGGGTTTGGCCAGACCCACAATGGGGCTGCCGTATGGTGAGGGACGGGGCCCGACATATCCGAACGGACCACCCACCGAAAACTCCTGGGAATTTTTCGACCCGTTCGGATTCGAACCTTGACCGCTCGGCCATTCGGCCGCTCCTCTCAGGGTATGTCTACTATTATACGTCAAAATATAATTTTGATCACATTTCGGTTGCGGAATGAATCGTTTTATATAATAATTTATGTCCATAAAAAATAATGTTCACACATAAAACTCGTTTTGAAAATACGATATAATTGAAAACACTTGTTCTTTTTCAACAAAGACCACAATCTTTTCGTAATTCAAAAAGAAAATAGAAATTTTTATTTCGCACGTTTGACGATATTTTATTGCAAGAATAATTTCATGGGATTTTCATAGCGATTTTATAGGAATATTTATACGATAAATTAAAAAATATTATGACAAATAACCTGTATATGTTCAGTAAAATTGATGACACGTACTAACTAGTAACTTTTTCCAATCTTACAGATTGCTTCTCGGCATGAAAGAAATGCGTATAATATCACACAATACTTAAAAATATAAGAAAATTTTACCTTTACTTTTTGCAACTTTCTGCATATTTTCTTTAATATTTTTGATCTGCGGTCGGTTGCATCCAACAAGCGTTTCCTTTCTTTTTACTTGCCTAGACACAATTAGAAATTAATTTAAAAATGCGCAATCTTCCACGAATATCGAATCTTTAAACAGTTAACATGAAATTTAATACGTTTTTTTAAATATAAAAATGTATGTACAATCGCGAAAACTCCATGTACAAATTTAATTGTTGAGGTAATTATAACTCTGTTTTGGACATACAGTAAATCGACTGCTATGCGTGTTATTGGTTAAAGTTCAACGTGGAAATGCTCAACGTTTAGTCATTCTAGTGATCAATATCCGCTATTTTGTAGTAAATTTTTTATTAGTAGAACATCGATTGAAATAGTTTGTATAGTCCTATTATAAGTTGCCTCGACTAGTTATAGTCGTTTAAACACAGTCTTTAATTAAACACGAGAACACTGCTTAATGTTTCGTTGTCCCTTTGCCACGGTAAACGTCACTTTAAACGAATAGAAAGAACGAATCTCGAATGGTGTCGAAGTATCCGTCCGAAAATTGGGACGGAAAGTCAAGTCCAGTTGATTAAATCGTAGCCGGGTGAAAGTGTATTCGGGTAAAAGGTTACTTCCATGGCTGTGTCACATTCGGTGGGAAGTCGAAGTGTGCGCAAGAAGGCCTCGGCAGAAAAAAAGGTTATGTTTATCAGCAGCAAAACCACCTCTTTTACCAAGGCCTATTACGATCGACGAATTCTTCCACCATTTCTTCGGACTCGTTTCTTTCGAGTCTCGTCTCACGTGATCGTGTTTCCACCGTCCATTCCGAAACTTTGGTGTATTCGTCGCTCCAGATAATGGACGAGAAACGAGGCGCTGTCGTCCGGAGTTACGACGACCACCCGTTTGACGTCGAGTGTACGCGACTCCTCCTCCGCATCTTTCGGAAGCACCCGTATTACACCATTCAAAGAATTAAAGAAGAGGTGTGCCACTTCTTTAATTCTTTTTAATTCTTATTTTAATGTAAATTGTAAATTTCTAATGCAGAAATGATTGTTTTAATTCCTTTTAGAAAAGAATATTATTACNCGAGAACACTGCTTAATGTTTCGTTGTCCCTTTGCCACGGTAGACGTCACTTTAAACGAATAGAAAGAACGAATCTCGAATGGTGTCGAAGTATCTGTCCGAAAATTGGGATGGAAAGTCAAGTCCAGTTGATTAAATCGTAGCCGGGTGAAAGTGTCGTATTCGGGTAAAAGATTACTTCCATGGCTGTGTCACATTCTGTGGGAAGTCGAAGTGTGTGCAAGAAGGCCTCGGCAGAAAAGTTACGATCGACGAATTCTTCCACCATTTCTTCGGACTCGTTTCTTTCGAGTCTCGTCTCATGTGATCGTGTTTCCACCGTCCATTCTGAAACTTTGGTGTATTCGTCGCTCCAGATAATGGACGAGAAACGAGGCGCTGTCGTCCGAAGTTACGATGACCACTCGTTTGACGTCGGGTGTACGCGACTCCTCCTCCGCATCTTTTGGAAGCACCCGTATTACACCATTCAAAGAATTAAAGAAGAGGTGTGCCACTTCTTTAATTCTTTTTAATTCCTATTTTAATGTAAATTGTAAATTTCTAATGCAGAAATGATTGTTTTAATTCCTTTTAGAAAAGAATATTATTACAAAATCTCTATTCTCCGGCTGGGATTCGCACTCAACCGCGAAACAGTAAGGCATCAGCCGGTTGCTGTTCTAAACAACAGGTCGACGCCATTTACCGCCTGGATCATTTTGCCGTTATTAAATAAATTATTAACATTTTTGAATAATTGCGAATTATAATTAACAGTAAAATGAAATTTATTAAGGGAAAATTTACTTAAAATTGAATAATTATTTATATATAAAATTTCGATAAATTTTTTCTGGCAACATTCGCCGCCATAAACGTCATCCGATTTTAATTCTCCCATTGGCTAAATAGATCAGGTGACATAGAATGCAGTACCGAGCGATTGGTCGGTAGCCGTTCTCCATTACCCCATTTTTGTCGTTTGGTATTCGAAGTAGAAGACGCAACTAAGATCGGCGAGAAAATTTCGTTAACGTTAAATAATCGTCATGACACAGTTTTTGCCACCGAATCTCTTAGCGCTATTCGCTCCACGCGATCCGATACCGTTTCTTCCACCTCCGGACAAACTTCCTCACGAAAAAAAGACTAATGGATACAATGGAGTCGGACAATATCTCAACATGTTCGAGGTAATTCCAATCGTTTTGTGCTTATCGATAAATCTGATACGTTCTTCGTCCACATCCACATCTGTTCTCTCCGATTAAACCGGATCCGACCGGTTTAAAATTCTTTATTCCGTTCGATTATATTTAATCAATCAATTCGCTTAAGTAGAATTCCGTAATTGCAATTAACTGCACTTCGGATTCCATATTTAAAAACGAAAAATACAATCGGAATGCTTATCTACGGATTTACGTATGTGTAGAGTACTTCTACCAGAATTTTATTTTCTTCCACGGTTTATATAATTTATACTGAATTTCGATTAAATGTAATATAATTAGTTGTGGTTCGTATGAAAATAGATTGTTCGAAATGTGTAACTAATTGCAATTAGATTCGTTTAAAAAAAACACGGGTTATCTCTAGGACTCTTTGTTCTATATTAATGTGCACTGGCCGGCCCGCCGGTGGGCGAATGAATGAGACTGCCGGGCCGGTGGCGAGTTTTTGCCCACCGGTGGGCGGGCCGCCTGGAGTATTCCGGGTTTCCTTTGTGTTTGTAAAGCGTAAGTGGAGACCTCCCCTTGGCGGATCGTCCGCCGGTCGCGTTGCCGTATACGAACGAACTTAAAGCCGGAAGAACGCACGCAAACGAGGTAAGTTTGTATGTGCGTAAGTATAATGCTCCTTTTCTGTACTACTAAACTAGTTATCCGGTACTATACTAGATAACTAATACGACTAGTAATATAGAAGTTTTCTATACTACCAAAATATTACTGCCGAATGCACCCGTGCTGACCTCGCCGGTGTCCGGTGATGGATTTCCGGAAACGACGAATATTTTCGGGCCTTTCTGAGAAGTGGTCCGGTTTTCTGCGTTAGACGAATGCAAAATGTCCAAAATTACTTCTGGTAATTTTGGACATGTGTGATGATTTGGCATATAAAGTCGTTTTTAACGGAGTACCTGCTAGTGTGGCGCGTCGGTCCTACCTGGCCGAAAGTCCCCGCAAGTATGCAAAGTAAAAATAATTTTGATTGTGAAATTTCTCTTTCATAATTTATGCAATTTGTAATGAATTTCTTTAATTACGTAGCAACTTTCTATAGGAAAATAAGTTATTTTAAATGTAAATTTAAATAATTGCATTTAATCTATTTTTCTATTCTGGAAGGCATTTAAGTAATGAGAATACCTGTACTTTGCAAAATTAAATTGAAATGTTACGTCACCGTTAATAATGAATAAATTAAAAATATATAAATTTTTGTATCTTATTTTTGCGTTTAGCTTTTTGTGTTATTTTTTTGTTTGGTTAATTTGAATTTTATTTTATAGAAAGTTTATAAGGCAACTGTAAAAATAGTCTGTTCTCCAAAATATAGAGAGTATGTTTGTGCTTTTATGTTAAATTAAAACACAAAGTTAAACTTTAAGTTTATTTTCTTATTTCATAAGTTTTTCTGATATTTTTAACAAAGAAAGATGACCATTAACACCAAACGATCACCAAATAATCGGGTGGAGTTGTGGTTATATACAGACGACCATTATTGATGTTATCTTGTATAAAGTTTGCTGTGCTAATTTTGGGCTGAAAAAATTGATTGCGCAGAGAAATTTAACAATGTCTCTTTCTAGTTTGATGTAAAGATAATAAACATAATCTACAGAAAGTTCACAATATCTCCATATGTGAGGTTTTGGTGCAGGTCTCTTAGGATGCTCTGATTTGGTGGATGATTGATTTGATATGGACATTAATCAAATGGTTGTCATAAAATCCAGACTGATGAAAGAGAAAAATTTCTAAACTTTATTTTAAACAGCTAAGAATAGCTATTGGGATTGCTTTAATGACTTTCAATTGCCAACATGGAAGAAAATATCTAGAACATAAGTGAAAAAGTGGAAGAAAACAACTTGCAGTCACTTTATGATAACTTTTTAACTTCTACACATCGAAAATTTCAGTTATAAAATTAGCTTTTTGTTTTTTTTTTTTTAATGTAAGTTGTTCTACTTTAGATGATTATAATTTTAAAAAGTTTTATTCCAATTTTTCTGGACATATAATAAATACATAAATTTTCTTATTCTAAATACGTTCTATTTCACTTGAAGACAACATTTGTGAAATATTGAAAATACTTGTGTGCCTATTCTCTTGTTTGAATTAAACTAAATTAACACCAAAGACAGTGTGTTTATTTTCAGTTTGTTAATTTCTGGATCTTTTAATGTGAGTTTATTCTAACATAAGAATTCCTGCCATGTCTGTTCTATTTTTAATTTCTGTTGAAGTTATCATTCTAACATGTTAAATGAGTAGTTCTAAGCTGAGGATAGTTAGATGCTTATCAGAAAATGGCTTATTAAAATTGTTGGCTACCTGTACAAAGCAAGAATTTGGTTTATTCATTACATGGTGCCAAGTTTCAGGAATTTTGAAAACTCTGAGTATTATTATGAGTTTGAACAATTACTATGTGCATTTCATTCATAATTTTTATTGTTTTGAAATGTTTTATAAATGGTTCATTAAAATATTAAACTAAAAGTGAAGTCAATTAAACTCTTCCCTTTTTTTAAATTAAAATGTTTTTTAAGGTTACTTTAAAAACTTTGTCATCTGGAACTGTATATTGCAATTGTATATTTTTCTTCTTGCATAAAGAAAAAATAAGTTTTTAACAAAGAAAGTTTTTCTTGCTTCCTATGCATTAAGAAGTATTGAATAAACTACAGTCACAAAAACCAATAGAAGTGATAAAATCTCACATTATTGAACATTTTCTTCCATATTAAATTGAGGCATTCCATCATTTGTGGTTTGGATTTACAATGCTAAGAGCTTGAAGATGCCCATTTAATATGGAAGAAAACATTTACTAATGTGAGTTTACCATTTCTGCCAGTTTTTGAATTTTTTGTGACTAGTTTATTTAAGATTAACCAGTATTTATCAGTCATTATTTGTAAGAAATATTGATTGTTCAGATTAAAAACAGCTGTTTAAAATAATATTGGTAGCCAAATTAGCAGTTTGAAGCAATGACTTTTATGATGAGAATTTGCTAGTTACTGAAGTATTTGTCTTGACCATTTTTATTTAACCAAAATGACTTATGACAACATTTTGACCTACCGTTTTCTGATATTATTTTCATGGCAGATAAATCTTGTGACATTCAGCTCCTCAGTCAAGGAAATTAATAGTTTCTTCTAGTACTGATGGATAAACAAAGCCTCCTTTGTGAAACATCATAAACTGCAAATGACATAAAAACTAAACAATCAGTATTTGGCAAGCTGCAGAAAATACAACTTATTCTATTTATACACTGGCCATATTAAGGCTGTTTATTGGAGTTAACACCTAATAACAATCTAGTTAGCTTCACTGTTAGGAAGCCTGTTAGTTTTATTACACTAATGTTGTTTTAGAAATAGTTTGTGATATTGAATACAGTAATTTAATAGAGATTTCCAAATCTGTGACATCATATCTGTAATGGCAACAATGACAAATAAAGGAAGCAAATGAACTAGACAAATGTTAAATAACTGTTTGTATTCTAGAAGAAAATCTAAGATTTTAGAAATGTGATTTATATGTATGAAATGAGTCTATATAGAGATAGTGGAAGGAATGGCAAAACTAGATCGAGATGCCTCTAGCAGCAATGGCAGGGAAACAGACTTGGGGGTATAAAGGTGGCACGTGCTTCTCCTTTTCAGAGCAAAGCGAATAATGATGGTTCTTAGAAGGCAGGGGTGTTTTGATGCAGTATCTACTGAAAGGAAAAGTAAATTAAAGAAAGGAGAGAAACTGTTCAAATGTGTGCACGTTTCCAAACTAACAGATTTCCTTAGACGAGAACACAGATCCAAATGTGAATCGAGATTCAACTGTCGTCACTGGAGAAGTTGTTAGTTATTAGGTTTAGGTAACAGCTTTTAACAACAAATATTAGTTTGGGTACCCATATCATTACACGACTTTTCACAAAATAAAGACTGCAATATTATCTGTACTATGAAGTGGTTTTTCTACATCAGTTTGTGTTCCAGTGGCATGTTTGGTGATCATAGATGTGGTTTTGGTGTCCACATCTATGCTGTTACATACATTCTCTGCCTTTTCTTCTTTCCTTCTTGCCTGCCTTTAAAACCTGTCAACACTTCCACAACACCGTTTCTTTTAGCATGTTGGAAAAAGTGTGGGAATGTATGCTGGATGGTTAGAATGATCAATTTTCCCCCTACCTACAAAATGCTGACTGCAGACTTTGCTGTACTTTGTGGGTTGCCAAGGTTTGCCATCTTTTCTGAAAAGTATATTTAATTTTACATATTATAGTACAATTATCAGGTGACTTTGGTCACTTTTTGAATAATGAATTACTTGATATGATCTTTAATAGTGTCCCATGGCTAATAATGACACCATTAAACATTTTTTAAATTTTATTATTTATTATCAGGATTTTAGATTTTCAGAAATACGAAATGTTTTGCTATTTTTAATGAGTTATTACTCAATGCACTATGTAAACAATGGGTAGTAATATAAAGTGGACTACACCTATTTACCGCTAAATAAAGCATTCTGGCCATTTGCAGAGATAATTACAATACAATGCCTTTAAATGTCATGGTTATATATACATACATAACTTTAAAAAAATACCTTCAATGAAAATATCCAAGCAGAATACTTAATCAGCCAAATTGTAGCCAGCCATTTCTTTCCTTCCAGAGTATTGTCCATTCAGAAACGAATAAAACTTTGTACCTGGCGGTGCAGTAATATAGGTAACACTACAACTGACCACACAACAGTTATTTTTTGAAGTTTTTTTAGGCAGAAAGCTGTGGTTCATTATCACAGGATGAAAACAAGTACAGGTGTTGCTCAACCCAGTTCCACTAGTTCTATAGTATTAAAAATGATCTCTTTCTAAATTGTTGTTTATTAATTCTTAAATGAACAATACAGGGTGCTTAAAAAAC